CATGCCTACCAAGCCTACAGGGCCAAACATGCAGATCTTGATTAAAAATAAACCAAATCAGCTGACTGGGGCTTTAGCTGGCTCTGTGGGATAATAGCAAAGAACGTCAGAATTTTAGATAAATTAGGGTTCACCTAGGGGAAGTCAGAGAAATGTACTTGAGCTTCTTCTTCTTCTTCTTCTTCTTTTTTTTTTTTTTTTTTGGTTATCTGGTTACTATTTCTCAAATACCACCAAAAAATGACCCCAAGTTGGCAGAAAGTGGGGGTTCACGTGTACATCTAGGTGATGGCTATAACAGCGATCCAAGTGGAGCATACTTTGTACAAACTGGTATTAAAGAAAAGCCAACACACTTTCTCTGGGACTGAGAGCAAGCACAAAGATGGACTAGAAAAGGTATTTTCTGCCAGTTCACAGGAAACGGATATACACACAGCTGTCTTATGAAATACAAACTGCATATTTCTCACACATCCAGCAGGCTGATGCTCAGGCCAAGGCAAAGGTAATGAGGGCAAAGTCCACGGAAGCCAGGGTTACAGACACAGCGTCCACAGGCCGCCTCCTATGGCCCTTTGATTCGGCCATGTCTCAGGACTCACAGCTGGATGACACTGTGCTAAGATATTCTCAGGCAGTCACGACAGCATTAAAGAAAAGAGAGATTTTTACACATCGGTTTAATGTTTTCCTTTGAAGTGCCCAACTTTATTCAGTTCTCTATCAATGATATATTCTTAATTTCTCTTAACCTGAAAAACCTTAAAATTTCTTTCCCATGACTGTCCTCCTAACCACAGCACTCGACACACTTGTTTCATTTCCACTCCACACGCATCTCTTATGAAACCTACAGCACCGGCAGTGTGGTAGAAGATACAGATGTCCCTTCCCTCCTGATGGAGTGGAACTGGAAGCCCCCGGGAGCCACCACAGTGCTCTGGTGAGAAGGGTATTTTGTTCCCAGGCGGTGCCCCAGATGGAGGGAGCAGGCTTCTCCTTAGTCAGTGAGGCCAGGGGGACGTGGCGTTGGCATCCCGTTTCCCTCATTACCCTCCAGAGTTTCCATCTGCAGGGCTGGGGGCAGGATGAGAGAGTGCAGCCAAGCAAAGGTACACGGCACACAAGGGAAGTGCCACACACGGGCTAGCAAGATCCATCGCAGGAGGCAACGGCTCAGAGGGCCCTTCAGCACTTCTAATTCAAGCCTCGGATTTTATAGGTACGAAAGCAGCCAGGACAAGTTAAGTGATGAGTCCAAAGACACACAGTGGGTGGCCGGAACCAGAGCCAATGCCACCAGCCTACTCCTCTCTGATCCTCCGACACATGACAGAACTGGTACAGGAACAAGCAAAACACAAAGCTGAGTCCAGAAACAAGCCCCCTTTCCCGGCCCCCTCCATCGACCAAAGCAACATACTTCTTTTAAAACTACCCAAGCTTCAGTCTCCTATTTCTGGCAGCGCCTTTAGCTTCCTGAGCTCAGATTTCTCTCTCTCTCTTTTTTTTCATTTGAAAGTCAGAGTTACACAGAGAGAGGAGAGGCAGAGAGAGAGAGAGGCCTTCCATCTGATGGTTCACTCCCCAGATGGCCGCAACGGTTGGAGCTGCGCCGATCTGAAACCAGGAGCCAGGAGCTTCTTCCGGGTCTCCCACGCGGGTGCAGGGGCCCAAGGGCTTGGGCCATCTTCTCCTGCTTTCCCAGGCCATAGCAGAGAGCTGGATCGGAAGTGGAGCAGCCGGGTCTCGAGTGCGAGCACCCATATGGGATGCCGGTGCTTCAGGCCAGGGCGTTAACCCTCTATGCCACAGCCCCGGCCCCAGATTTCTCATTCTTATACAAGACTTCAGAGAGACCCTGGTGACCTGAGTGGTCAGAATCCCAACTGTAGACTTTGCTACAGTCTGAGAAAGAGACCTTTGGGGGCAGCAGTAGTCGACCAGTAGCCACCTCCAACTTGGGAACATTCTGGACCACACATTGTGCTTATAATAATGCTGACTCTGAACTCAGCAGCTTTGGAAGGTTATGCTGACGGAAAGGCTACAACTACCCATGCAGTGATTACTTCAAGAGTTCAGAACAAGGAAGAAGGCTGGGAGGAGAGCGAGTATTTTGGGTTCCGTCCAGAGGATGTAAGATTCACTACGTCACATCCACCCAGAGCAGAGAACGACTCTGACCTTAACGGCAGCGTGCACAGTATTAGAAGAGGGCCAAACCAGGCTGTATGAACGAGGCTCTCTGACATCCCCTATTCCTACGCCAAGGGAATCAGTTCTCGATTAGCTCCAAAGTGACCACCCCTTTGGTCCAGTCACCTGCACTGTGACTTCAACAGAGCTGACCACAAATCTGAGTAGACGGAACCAACAGTCTACCTTCTCAAATAAACAACGCTCAGGCATTAAAGCAAAGGGCGTGACTGACGCAGCTCCCAGCAGGCTGCTGGAACAGGACCTCTCATCACATGCAACACCTGCCTGTCAGCCCTGCTCCTCCACCTGAAGAAAAACTGCTCCAGGACTGGGACAGGCAGAAAGCACCGAGCTCGGGGCCGGCACTGCAGGAGATGGCCCAAGTCCTCGGGCCCCTGCACCCACATGGGAGACCCAGAAGCAGCTCCTGGCTCCTGGCTTCAGATCAGCTCAGTTCTGGCCATTGCCGCCATTGGGAAGTAAACCAAAAAAGAGCAGAAGGAAGACTTTTCTCTCTGTCTCTCCCTCTCTCTGTCTGTAACTCTACCTCTCAAATAAATTTTAGAAATCTTAAAAAAAAAAAAAAAAAAAAAGAGATAGAGGAAGGAAAGTACTGCGCTCCAGCACAAGTACGCAGCACAGTGAATGCCCGAAAGGTACAGCTGAATCCAAAATCAAGGCATCTGGAGGACATGGAATTATTATTCCTCAAGAAAAGGCTGATTTATTTATTTGAAAGGCAGGGTTACAGAGAGAGAGAGAGAGAGAGGTCGTCCATCCTCTGCTGGTTCACTTCCCAGATGGCTGTAATGGCCGGAGCTGTGCCAATCGGAAGCCAGGAGCTTCTTCTGGGTCTCCCCGACGGGTGCAGGGGCCCAAGCACTTGGGCCACCTTCCACTGCTTTCCCAGGCCATAGCAGAGAGCTGGATTGGAGTAGAGCAGCCAGGTCTCAAACAGGCGCCATATGGGATGCCAGCGCTTCAGCCCGGGCTGCCACCACAGCCCTGGCCACAATGTTTCTACTTCCCTGACTCCACAGGGAGATAAAGCAATGAAGGCTGAGGGGCAGAGAAGCCACAGAGAAGAGCCTCAGGGAGCCCCAGAGAGGCCTTGGCCACGCACGACCCTGAGCTCTCCCCGCTACTCACGCGTGAGCTTGCTGAGTGCACTGGGACATGGGGAGCCGAAGGGTCAGAGACGCCTTTCCTTGCTGACCACTCCCAACGCTGGTATCAGTTTGTACCCACTCCAGCAACCTGAGCCCCCTCTTCACATTCCAATTTCTAGGGTTCAGCCCTAAGGAAATTGCCAAAGATGGAGTCAAAGAGGAATACCCTAGAAAGCTCACCAGAGCAGTCACTGATAAGAACAAAGGACCTGAAACAACCAAAATTCTCAACTCTGTAGGGTGAGAAAGCTCGAGTAAGCAGAACCACTAGAACTGTGTTCCCGAAGTCCTAAGGATGCAGGAAATTCCTAGACACCAGGTTTAGCCAGTGGGGGAATGAGGACACCGGCCTGTACCAATGCAGATCCCTGGTTTGGCTTAAATGTTACACATTACATGTTTAAATGCTGACGGGAAATTCACAATCCCGGCAGGCTTGGGGCTGTTCTACGTGGAAGGGAGATGGATGAGTTGGATTCTTTCTTCAGACTCGTGAGAGCACGTGCTACTTTTATATCAGAGGAAAAAAACACAATAAATATTTGTTTTACAATACGTCTACCCTAAAATCTCTCATTTCACACGGCAATCGGCGGTCCCAGGGAGGGGCTGCTGAAGCTGGCGGCAAACTCAGAGAGTTGGGAAGAGCCCGGGGGCACAGCAAACCTCTTCTGGGTGGGACGAGAAACCCGGCGCGCCACGGCCTGGCTGCTGCTCTGCCCTGCTGCCGGCCCTGTGTCCCCTGGGCCTGGCCAGAAGCTCTCCTGGAGAACCCATGAGCTCGCCACAGCAGCCACCGCACCCCGCAGGAGCTCTCACCTCTCAGCATGAGGATCCCTGGAGCAGAGCAAGTAAAGGCCCTACTTGCCTCTCCCAGAGGAGGAAGGTTTCCTTGTAAAGTTTACAGAAGTGACTCAAAACCAGCTACGCAGATTGCGAAACACGAGTTACATTCCATGACTGTATAGAAGTCGAATGCATTTAAAAGCAAATCTCTGAGTGCCATCTTGTGGCAAGCCTGGCTCCAAACACAACCAAGTACGGGCTGTTTTCCCCATTCTTCTCCATCCTCCCCCACCCCCACCCCCCCCCACCCCCCGCAGCCCCACACAACTTGGCCAGGAGGCACTGCCCCGTAAGAACCCACCACACTGGACAAACACTCCTCAAAGTGCCTGGCACTATCCACTTTTAGGCATTTCTAGTTTAGACCCCAGGAGTGCCTGTTTGAGGGTGCATGAGAACAAAGAGGTGTACCGCAGGAGTGGGGACCTCTGTTCTGCCCAGGGCCGTTTACATATTTATAACACCACCTAGGGGCCACACACAACTGTCAACTTAAATCAGCCCACCAGAGACTTACTGGATTCCAAGTCCCGCCTGGGGAAGCCTAGGCAGGGCCAGACCAAGTGATACTGTAGGCAGGCCGGTCCCCACCCTGAGGCCATGCATGTGGGTTTGTGGGCTGCTCTGCGGTGCACCGTGTGTGTGTGTGTGTGTGTGTGTGTGTGTGTGTGTGAGGGCCGGCTGCCACGCGGCAGGCACCGCTAGGATAAGTGTCTCCTCCACTAAGGACAGTCACCATTTTAGAAAGTTATACAGAAAAGGGTAACATTGACAGCTCAGTGAGTCTTGTGCTTAGAGGTTTTATTGATCAAGGTTAGAACAATCATCACCAACTTGGGCACAATTCCAAAATAGAGCTCTTGTTGAATTCAGATCTTAAAAGTCCTTTTTAAGCTTGTTAAGAACTTGTGAAATACGAAAGTTTCCCTAGTAGTTTAGAAAAGGTACAATCACTAATAAGTTAATTTCACACTCAATGAGGAGACAGATGTTTTGAGAGACGAAACATCACCCTTGCAAACATCTACTCTATTCACTGATCTCGGGGCCCCAGGCTTCAGGGGGGACCAGGACGTCCTCCATGAACTGCGACCTGACTGAAAGCCTCTGGAGTGAGTATGGGTTTAAAAGAAGTCAGTGTTGCAAAGCTGAGGGAGGCCGGAGCGTGGAGGAGCTGACATGGATCCTGGTTAAATACAATCTTCCCCACAGGAAGGGACTGAGCTAAAATCCTGGCAGTTTTGGGCAGGAAGCGTGCAAGAAGCAGGCAACACACGGCACAAAGGGAGGAGCTGAGCCAAGAACCACGCTCTGCTGGGCAGCGGCCTGCAGGCCCGTCCACCTCGCGGGGAGGGGGGAGGCTTATCCCAGAAGGGGGCTTCCTCAAGGGGAGGGCGGAGCTCACAGCAGGAAGCTGCCCTGTGGTCCCCACGTGGGAAGGGAGCACAGTCACCATGGGAAATCAACAGAAGCACCGTACTCCGGGCGGGTCCCAGCCAGGTGAGTCGCTGGCGAGCACTCAGCCAGAGATGATCCTCAGGAGGCTGAGCTGGGAGCACGGGTCAGACCCTTGGTCCCCTCTCCAGCCTCCGGAAGCACAGTCTCCCTTCCCGCCTGACGGGACTGACACGCTGGGCAGCTCCTGTCCGAGGTCAATCAACGCACTGGACAGGGAAGCAAGGAGCTAAAAACATTTTCTGAGAGTCCCAGCAAGTCGCTTCGGGGAGAATTTGTCGGTTTCCCTCTGCGCAGGAAAGGCAGAGGGAGCAGAGAGCAAATAAAGGTCAAGGTCTCCTTTCTCGTTCACAAAAACAAACCAAGAGAGGAGACGGACCTTGCTCAGTTACAGATGAAAACCACGGCTTTCCTTAAAACGGCAGCCTGCTGCCTCAGAAGCACCTGAGTCCAGCACGGGTTCATATACTGACTGCGCGGCTCCGGCTTTGACAATTAACGACCACGACTCCGTTGCCTTCACTGCAGCACCCCCCCACCCCCGCCCCACCCTGCCCTGGAGGGAGCCGCGCTCACGACAGCTTGACCGCGAGGTCTTCTCCGTACTTCCGGAGCAGCTTCTGATGGTTGTGATCCACGGACCACTGCTGCGGCAGGTGTGTGGGCTGCATGGAGTCCAGGAAGTGCTGGCGCCAGCGGCTCTCGAGCTGCATGAGGGAGCGCAGGCCACCCTGGGTGTGGCACTGCACCACCTTCAGCCCGTGAGGGACGTAGTTTTCATTAGAAATCCTGCGGAGACACAAGAGAAAAGGGCGTGAGGGGAGCAGGCATGGGACGGTGGCACAAACAGCTTCAACGGCTGCTGGCCTGGGGTCTACGGGAGGCGGTCAGACAGGATAAAGGGTTGCAAGTAAGGCCTTTTGATGGGTTTTGTCCCTGTCATAACTGAATGTCAAATGATTGTCAAGTTTTTTTTTTTAATTGTGCTTAAAAACCCCAATGCCACAGGCTTCTGCAGGTTTTTCCTCCATTGGAGCCCCCCTCCATGCTGCTCTGGCTGGAATTCTTTGACTCTAATAAAACCTCAAAAAAATAAAGAAATGTTCTGGGGCCAGCGCTGTGGCGCAGTAGGTTAAAGCCCTGCCATGCCGTGCCAGCATCCCATATTGGCGCCAATTTGCGGCCCGGCTACTCCACTGCTGATCTAGCTCCCTGCTAATGCGGCTGGGAGAGCAGTGGAGGATGGCCTAAGTGCTTGGGCCCCCGCACCCATGTGGGAGACTCATGTGGGAAGAAGTTCCTGGCTCCTGGCTTCAGATTGGCTCAGCTCTGGCTGTTGTAGCCGTCTAGGGAGTGAACCAGAAGATGGAAGCCCCCCCCTCTGTAACTGTGTCTTTCAAGTAAATAAAATAAATCTTTAAGAAAAAAAAGAAATGTTCTGTTACCAGCATCTGCTGGTAGAAATATAAAGGCTAGGGGCTGGCACTGTGGCATAGCAGGTTAAGTTGCTGCCTGTGATCCTGTATGGGAGCTGGTTGGGATCCCAGCTGCTCCACTTCCAATCCTGCTCCCTGCTAATGGCCTGGGAAAAGCAGCAGAAGGTGGCCCAAGTGTTTAGGCCCCTGCCACCCACGTGAGAGACTCAGAAGAAGCTGTTGGCTCCTGGCTTCAGCCTGGCCCAGCCCTGGCCTTTGCAGCCATCTTGGGAATGAACCATGGAATGGAAGATCTGTCTCTCCCTCTCTTTCTCTAACTCAGTCTTTCAGATAAATATATAAATCTTAAAAAAAAAAAAAAAAAAAATATATATATATATATATATATATATATATATATATATATATATATATAAAGGGTACGTTAAATTAGTTCAGTTATTTCTTCTTCCTATTTTGGTACTTCTCACACCAGATCCTTATGTTACCAAGTAGAAGGCAAAATATCATTGAAATAAAGGTTTTTCTATAAAAAAAAAAAAAAAGACACAGCTGCCTCCCTACTCCTCCTATGAATGCTGTCAGTTCTGCTATTACTAGGCAGCTGGCGACCCCTAGCAGTAACCACAAAATAGATGTCACATTTACTGAAATCTCAAGTAGCATGCTAGGAAAACGGGGGACCAATACAAAATGACGTAAAGGAAGCCACAACTCAGCAAGAAGCATTAACAGGATGATCAACACTCCTCAGGGACTAGGAAGCCCTTAGCCAGGAAGCATACCTGTGCCTTTGGAGAAAAGAAAAGTTGGGCTATACTTGAATTAAAATTCTGTTGTTCAATCCTGTTTTCCTTAGAACACAATAAATTTGGATAACATCAGTTACTCCTCTTGTTTTAGTCATCAAGGAAGAAAACAACTTTCCCTTTTTTTTTTTTTTGACAGGCAGAGTGGACAGTGAGAGAGAGAGAGACAGAGAGAAAGGTCTTCCTTTTGCCGTTGGTTCACCCTCCAATGGCCGCCACGGCCGGCGTGCTGCGGCCGGCACACCGCACTGATCCGAAGCCAGGAGCCAGGTGCTTCTCCTGGTCTCCCATGGGGTGCAGGGCCCAAGCACCTGGGCCATCCTCCACTGCACTCCCTGGCCACAGCAGAGAGCTGGCCTGGAAGAGGGGCAACCGGGACAGAATCCGGCGCCCCGACCAGGACTAGAACCCGGTGTGCCGGCGCCGCTAGGCGGAGGATTAGCCTAGTGAGCCACAGCGCCGGCCACAACTTTCCTTTCTCTTTTACTTTAACCCACTTTCTAGGTAGTCTTTATCTTTACAGACCTATTTGTAGCTTTACTTAGTTCTTTGGTTTTATGCTAATATGCATTTGCTTCAGGAACGCTTTTAGCATTCCTTTCTTTTCAGATGTGACTTTTATATTGGAAACTTTATGTTTCTGAGTTTGTAGCTAACTAGAGGCCCTGCCTATCTATCATCTCCCTCCTACCCATACATACATACACACATACATAACTACATAATAATTTTATAACTGTTTATGTCTCCTTGATAATTAAAAAAATTGTCCTTTTATTTGAAGGGCAGAGAGACAGAGATATCTTCCATCCTGCCACAGCCAGGGCTGGGCCAGGCCAAAGCCAGGATCCTGAAATCCAATCCAGGTCTCTCACATGGGTGACACTGACCCAACCACTTAAGCCATCATTTGTTCCTCCCAAGGTACACACCAGCAGGAACCTGGATTGGAAGTCAAAAGTCAGGACTCAAACCAGGCACTCAGATCTGGGATGTGGGTATCCCAAGTGGCAATGAACTCTGCACAAAATGCATAATTTTTAGTTCTCTGAAAATATCAGCAAGTTTCATATTTCTTGAATATTTTTAAATTAAATCTTCTTTAAGGAGTTGACTGTTCTCAGTCTTAAGCCCAGCATCCACTTATCCAATTCAGTAAGATCTATGTGAAGTGTGAGAGGGGGAGGTAGTTTGATACTGTTTTAGGAAATACATTTGGGAATTAATCAAAGGAGTCAGTCTCACTAATGTGTCATACGATGTCAATAACCTCAAAGAAACTTAGAAAATAATATATATTCAACTTCACACAATAGCTGTAGGGATAAAGATCAATAATAGTTTTTTTAAAAAAACTTCGAAAGATTTTTAAAATGCAAGATGGAATATTAGCAGTTACCAGTAAGAAATCTAAACCCCATCTTAGGGGCCAGCACTGTGGCATAGTGGGTGGGGCCGCAGCCTGCAGTGCTGGCATGCCATATGGGCGTCAGTTTGAGTCCAAGCTGCTCCACTTCTGATCCAGCTCTCTGCTATGGCCTGGGAAAGCAGTAGAAGATGGCCCAAGTCCTTGGGCCCCTGCACCCACGTGGGAGACCCGGAAGAAGCTCCTGGCTCCTCACTTCAGATCAGTGCAGCTCCGGCAGTTGTAGCCAACTGGGGAGTGAACCATTAGATGGGAGACCTCTCTCTCTCTCTCTGCCTCTCCTTCTCTCTGTGTAACTCTGACTTTCAAATAAATAAATAAATCTTTAAAAAAAATAAGTAAAACCCATCTTAGCAGGTTGCACTAAGAAATAATAATGGTAGTGAAGTAGGTAAAGCCGCTGCCTGTAATGCCAGCATTCCATATGGTTCCGGTTTGTGTTCCAGCTGCTCCACTTCCAACCCAGCTCCCTGCTAATGGCCTGGGAAAAGCAGCGAAAGACAACCCAAGTGCTTGGGCGCCTGTTACCCATGCAGGAGACCTACAGTAGCTCCTGGCTCCTGGCTTCAGCCTGGCTCAGCTTTGGCTGTTGCAACCATCTGGGGAGTGAACCAGTGTATGAAAGACCTCTGTCTCTCCCTCTCCCTCTGTAAGTCTGACTTTCAAATAATCTTTTAAAAAAAGAAATAACCATGGCCACTTAATGAAAGTTTATTATCTTGGTTCTACAAGATACAAGGTATCTCTATATGTCTGTTCAATGGATATTTGCAGTATCTGTGATGGATCAGCAGCCTGGGTGAAATAACCATTTCTAAAAAATAAATAAATCCCCTAAATAAAGGCCTCATTCTCCTGCGCATTTCTCTCAATGAATAAAAAGCTTCAAAACTTAAAATAAATAAATATTGTGATTATGATCATAGTTTTAATCAATTCCTTTTTAAGGAAAGTCTTTTCAGCTTTTCTTTATTTTCATGTTATTGGAAGGCAGGCAGTCAGACAGCAAGAGATCTTCCATCTGCTAGTTTATTCCCCAAATACCTGGAAAAGCCAGGGATAGGCAAGGCCAAAGCCAGGAGCCCTGAACCCCATTCAGGTGTCTCCCATGGAAGTCAGGGATTCAAGCACCTATGGCCTCCCAGGGTACACATTAGTAGGGAGATGGATGATCGGAAACACAGAAAGTCAGGACTTGAACCAGGCACTCCAATACGGGATACAGGCATCCAATTGCCTGCCCCTTATTTATTTATTATTTGATAATGGAAACACTAAGCACTTGCTATCAGGATTTTGTGAACTTACTGGCTCAATTATTTCATCCCCTAGTACTGTGGAAAAAAGTGAGAGTTTGGAAGCAGAACTACACCCAGCAGCCCAAAGGTCTTGTCGTCTGAGCCATGTAGCTATTCATTTTTCAGGACCATAAACATCTCGCTTAGGGACACTGAGTTATATCCTATGAATTCGCCTATGCACACACAGGGAAGGTGGGAGAGAGCAAGGGAGGAGGGAAACAAGAGGAAAGTCACTTAAACAGGGACAGCAATTCTGCGCAATATTCCACTCAGTAGGCCGGAACCCGGCAGAGCAGGTGAGACGGGAAATGTGAACCCATGGTTCTCACACCCCTGGGTGAAGGCAGGGATGTAAAATCACCTAGACGGTCCTTCATGCGCAACTTCAGAGATTTCGGGGTATCACTGGACTATCATTTCGTCCTGCGTGCTGACTTCAGGATTTAGCTTTGCACAGAATGTGTAAGACAACTCCCTTGCATCTACACTCTCACACTAACCATGAAAATGACTGGACATTATATGGCATTAAAGAGTCAAGGACAGGGGCTGGCGCTGTGGCGCAGCGGGTTGACGCCCTGGCCTGAAGCGCCAGCATCCCATATGTGCACCAGTTCTAGTCCTGGCTGCTCCACTTCTGAACCAGCTCTCTGCTGTGGCCTGGGAAAGCAGAAGATGGCCCAAGTCCTTGGGCCCCTGCACCCACGTGGGAGACCCGGAGGAAGCTCCTGGTTCCTGGCTCTGGATCGGTGCAGCTCCGGCCATTGCAGCCAACTGGGGAGTGAACCAGTGGATGGAAGACCTCTCTGTGTAACTCTGCCTTTCAAATAAATAAATAAATCTTAAAAAAAAAAAAAAAAGAGTCGGAGATTGTCCTAAGCCCATTCCCACGGTGTCTTAAACCACTAGAGTCAGCTGGATGCCTGGCACTGCACGCAGGCCGTCGAGGCCCCCTCCCCAGCAAACAGGTTCACGGAGCAGGGAGGCCGACGTCCCTGGTTCTTAGGTCGTACCTTGTCTCCAGGTTGGCGGCCTCCTGCAGCATCTCCTCTGTGATGGTGTCTGTGTTATAAAACTCCCTCAGCGCTCGCAGCAGCTCCTCCTTGCGATGGGCAGGCAGGCTCTCCGCGTTGAGCAGGGCCCTGGCCCCGGAACGCACCTGCCGGCGCTCGGGGTCTTCCAGCAGGCGCAAGCCCTCCTCGGAGCCGATGGGCGCCTGGAACTCCCTGGCCAGCTGCTGCTTCAGGTGGTTGTCGTAGTAGTTGGAGATGGCGTGGCAGGAGGTGCAGAGCAGCAGCACGTCGTGGGAGTTGTGGTCCTTCATCTCAATGGGGAAGTGCTTGCGGTACTCGTGCGGAATCACGTTCTTCCTGGAACGGGGCCACGAGAGAGCAGGGCTCATCAGCGTAGGACACCGAGCACACGCAAAGCGAGCAGCTGGCCACCGGGATTCCAGCCTGAGCCTGAACACGACGAGAGGCCTTGAGCACCACACCCAACAGCCTACCTCAAGGCAACTCGCCTACTCCACTCTACCCTACAGGGGTCTTAGGTTCCTGGTTGCCTGCCTCACCCACCCACCTGTTCCTCAGGTCTCTCTCTCCTCGAAGCCAATACCGATCACTTACCATGAGGCTACAGGGGCAGGCAGAGGTTAACAGCCCACCTTTGAGCAGGCCATGCTTCTCGAAGGAGGGGTCTTGGGGAAATGAAAAGATATTCTTGGGGCTGGTGCTGTGGTGCAGTAGGTAAAGCTGTCGCCTGCAGCACCAACATCCCATATGGACACCAGTTCAAGTCCCGGCTGCTCCACTTCTGATCCAGGCTCTCTACTGTGGCCTGGGAAAGCAGTGGAAGATGGTCCAAGTGCTTGGGCCCCTGCACCGGTGTGGCAGACCCGAAAGAAGCTCCTGGCAAGCCCAGCTCTGGCCATTACGGCCATTTGGGGAGTGAATCAGTGGATGAAGACCCCTCTCTCTGTCTGTAGCTCTGCTTCTCAAGTAAATAAATAAATCTTTTTTTTTTTTTTTTAAGTTTCTTCTCATGGCCCCTGATATCCAGAAAACAACTCTCTATGAAGCCCGGTGACATGAGAAGGCCAGCGTCCTTCATCTGAGGAATCCCCGGCTCTGACATGGCTTCCCGGGTTCAGCAGGGCCCACCTCGGCTTTTGGCAGCAGCAACAGTACAGGGGGAAGAGAAGAGAAGGGAGTCAGCGCACCAAGGCCGCGGAGACAGCCAAGTGTCCAGACACGTGGGCCTTGACACAAAAAGAATCACAGGCCAGAGCAGCCTTCGGGTCTGGACATTGTGTGAACAGCACCAGGGCTCAGGGAGTCCATGAGCCACTCAGGGAGGACGCAGGGACCCAGCCCCTGAAGGAGGCGGTCCGGGGTCCGCCCTGCACAAAGGCAGCGCACTGCTATGGGGTTACCGCGAAGCGGCTCAGAGCCCGGCTGCGCGTGCGCGCTGGGACAGCCAGCCCTCGGCCAGGCTCCGGCAGGCTGCACAGCCCCATCCCCGTGGCGCGGACGTCAGGGCGCCCACGACCGCACTCACCGGATGTAGGAGTCCCGCTTGCCGCACACCACACACAGGTTCTCTTTGACCATCAGGTAGTAGTCTCCCGGGGATTCAGGTCTGCCCGCAGGCTCAAACCGGAGCTTCACCACAAAGGGCTCTTCGCTCACCAGCTCTTGGAGGGGAGAAGGAGGTCAGCGCTGCCTGCGCGCGCCCGCCCGGGGAAGGTGCCCGGCCGTGTCTCTGTGTTGTGGCTACCCAGTCCACGTGTGTCTCCAGGTCTCTCCCTCACATCCCACTGCCCACTCCCGCCACCACCCCCCACCCCCGCCCTAAACAGAGAAGCGAGGACGGCTGAGTGTCCCACCTCCAATGCCCTTGTGCAGGTACCACTGGGCTTTCCTCCGGTCACAGGTGCAGAGGGGCTGTCCATCAGGAGCGTGGAGAAAGCAGTTATCATACAGAGGCGACTTTCTGCGGGGAAGGGAGAGAAACCTCAGACTCAGTGTTTGTCAAGCACTCGGTCGGCTTCCCACGCTCTTCTGAGTCAAACTACTCTCAACACTAGGATCACAATACAAATTATGGAAGAAACAAATAGGGCAAGAAACCACAGTGAACCCCCCATCTGCACTGGGCAAGGAAACAAATTCGTTTATGCCTCTTGATTTTTACTTAATTGACTAGGAGGTTAGGGGGTGAACTGGGTGGTGTTTACATTGCTCTGCTATGAACACAAACAGCACCAGAGCTACAAGAAAACTGTCAAATCACTGCAAATTACATATTTTAAAGTTCAAGCTAAAATAATGAGGACCATGTCAACTTATTTCTAGCTCACATGTAAAATTTCCTCCTATTTAATCATACATTTCCTAAAGGCACGTTGCTACAGGGACCAAACTTCTGTTCCAAAGTACTTAGGAGTCATCGTCCGACAACAAAGGGGTCAGTTGTACTGGAAAGTTCTAGCTGGTGGGAGAACAACACTGGTTCAGAGCTGGGTCCCAGCTAAGTAATCAACCACCAGACGGGTAAGAAATCAGCTGATGTGTTTCTCCTGACGAGATGAAGCCCTTCACGTTACTCATTTTCACAGCCATCCTGAAGCAAACAAGAGCTAATAACTAATCCCCCTTTTAAGGTTGGACAGGCACTGTGGCGTCATTGCAGGTAAAGCCAACGTCTGAAGTGCCGGCATCCCATATGGGCGCCAGTTCAAGTCCCGGCTGCTCCACTTCCGATCCAGCTCTCCGCTATGGCCTGGGAAAGCAGTAGAAGATGACCCAAGTCCTTGGGGCCCTGCACCCACGTGGGAGACCCAGAAAAAGCTCCTGGCTCCTGGATTCAGATCAGCCCAGCTCCAGCTGTTGTGGCTATTTGGGGAGTGAACCAGTGTAGATAGAAGACCTCTCTCTCTGCCTCTCCTCTGTGCAACTCTTCCAAATAAATAAATAAGTAAATCTTAAAAAAAAAAAGTTGGAGAAGTTACAGGCCTAATGTCACATCGGGGCTCAGTGACAAAGTCAGGCTGAAGCCTCATTTCTACTCCAATTGTCCAAAGGTTGAAAAATATAAACGAGGAAAAAAATACACAAACAAAACAAAGGACAGTCCAAATGTCTCTGAAAACAAGGGAAAAGGAAAACACACCCTGGACAGCCTCCTCTGCCTCACCACAGGCCTCGCCCCAGGCCCCTGGCACGGCGTCACATCCCCTGCTGGAGGCTGGGCCCTCGCTCCAGGAGCCAGAGAACTGTCAGTTACCTGGCAGAGTAGCCCACCCCCAGGGGCTTTCTCTTGTGTCTCCTGGGGTCCCGGCCTTGCTGGCTGCCGGGCACCGCTCCATCGCTCTCAGACTTCTTCTTTCTCGGCTTCTGCTGAGACTCAGAGGCTTCCCCAGCAACCTCCTCTCCCAGTCTGCTAACTGCTTTGCTTCGGAATGGGATGTCCACCATATCCCGGCATTTCTCCAAGACTTTCCTCCAGCCAGCGCGGTCATCGCTCTCTGGCACAGCTGACTGCCTAGAGAAAGGGTATCCAAGGAGATGGAGAAAGAGAGCCACTGAAACCTGCGCATCCCTGGCGGCGTAAGTTACCTGGAGAGAAAAGTCAGCCATCAGTGCAATCTCAAAGGCACACCAGACAAAGCAACCTCGCGGGCACCGCAGAGATACGGACAAACCTGAGGATCCTAATTCAAAATGGCCAGTAACCTAGGCACCATGGACTTCCTGAAAACCTTCAAACTGTACAACAGTGAGTTGAACAGCATAAGAATTCTCATGTTCTCTATTTCTTCACTATAATCGCTAAAATAATGACTTTCTCTAACTCCTGGAAAATCCTGATCTACATGAACCAGTGAGGTTTCTTCCTGTCTGCTACCATTCCACTGCACAGCTGTTTCTCAAGTTTAGGGGCCAGTGCCGCGGCTCAATAGGCTAATCCTCCGCCTGCGGCACCGGCACACTGGGTTCTAGTCCCAGTCAGGGCACTGGATTCTGTCCTGGTTGCCCCTCTTCCAGGCCAGCTCTCTGCTGTGGCCCAGGAGTGCAGTGGAGGATGGCCCAAGTGCTTGGGCCCTGCACCCCATGGGAGACCAGGAGGAAGCACCTGGCTTCTGGCTTCGGATCAGCGCGGTGCGCCGGCCGCAGCGGACATTGAGGGGTGAACCAACAGAAAAGGAAGACCTTTCTCTCTGTCTCTCTCTCTCACTGTCCACTCTGCCTGTCAAAAAAAAAAAAAAAAAGTTTAGGGAGAGGCCTGACAATCAGCACACGAAATCCACTTTGGGGCAGTCACCCTTCAGAATGGCTGAAATTATTACTAAGAGGGCTGTGTGAATATCAATCAGAAAAGGCCCACCATCTTATTAATAACATGTTGAAAACAAGGGAAACAAATGGGTTTCATGGCCAGCGCTGTGGCTCACTTGGTTAATCCTCTGCCTGCGGTGCCGGCACCCCGGGTTCTAGTCCTGGTTGCTCCTCTTCCAGTCCAGCTCTCTGCTGTGGCCCAGGAGGGCAGTGGAGGATGGCCCAAGTACTTGGGTCCCTGCACCCACAAGGCAGACCAGGAGGAAGTACCCGGCTCCTGGCTTTGAACTGGCACAGTGCTGGCCATAGCGGCCATTAGGGGAGTGAACCAATGGAAGGAAGACCTTTCTCTCTGTCTCTCTCTCACTGTCTATAAATTCTCTCTCTGTCTCTCTCTCTCTCTCTCACTGTCTAACTCTGCCTGTCCAAAAAAAAAAAAAAAAATTGGTTTCATACATGGGCCTCAAGTCAAAATTTTGCCCTGGCATGTTTTTGTTTAATTGTGCTAAGTCATCCTTGTGGGGCCGGCACTGTGCTACAACCAGCGAAGCCACCGTCTGCAGTGCTGCCATCCCACATGGGCAGCAGATCAGGTCCCAGCTACTCCACCTCCCATCCACATTCCTGCTCATTTGCCTGGGCAAGCAGTAGAAGATGGCCCAAGTGCCTGGGCCCTGCACCCACATGGGTGACCCAGAGGAAGCTCCTGGCTCCTGGTCCCTGTTCAACCTAGTCCAGCTCTGGCTACTGTGGCCATTTGGGGAGTGAACCAGAAGATGGAAGATGGAAGATCTTTTTATATGTCTCTTTCTCATTCTGTAATTCTGCTTTTCAAATAAATAAATTAATAAATCTTAAAAAAAACTTATTCTCCCAAGCAACTAGTGAAAGAAAGGCAAGCTAGTCACTCACAAAAGTAGTCAAAATGAAAACTGATAGGTTTTCCCAACAAAGGGTATAAGAATCTCAAAAGCCTTCTAACAACCAAGCCAGATAAATTATTCTATTAGTAAGGATTTTTTTGACACCTTTAGAATAAAACAAGTTCAGTGGAATTTTCCACCCAGATATAACAATCTACATATTTATCAGCAAATTTTTCTCCCAGAGAAAAGAGGTGTGCTTGAATGTGGGAAGAGTGCTTTTTAACATATGGTTTCCAAATAAGCAGAAACAAAGGCTTTTTTTTTTTTTTTTTTTTTTTTTGACAGGCAGAGTGGACAGTGAGAGAGAGAGACAGGGAGAAAGGTCTTCCTTTTGCTATTGGTTCACCCTCCAATGGCTGCCGCGGCTGGCACGCTGCGGCCGGCACACCGTGCTGATCCGATGGCCCGAGCCAGGTACTTATCCTGGTCTCCCATGGGGTGCAGGGCCCAAGCACTTGGGCCATCCTCCACTGCACTCCCTGGCCACAGCAGAGAGCTGGCCTGGAAGAGGGGCAACCAGGACAGAATCAGGCGCCCCGACCGGGACTAGAACCTGGTGTGCCGGCACCGCAAGGCGGAGGATTAGCCTAGTGAGCCGCGGCGCCGGCCAAACAAAGGCATTTTTAACAAATGGTGCTGAGACAAGGGGATACCCCATGTGAAAGATGAATTTGAAACCTTCTCTCAAACATATACAAAAATCAACTCAAAATGGATCACAGACCGAAGTGCAAAAGCTAAACTTAAAAGAAAATGTAGGAGTAACCCTTCAGGACTTTGCATTAGGGGACACTTTATTGGATATGATAGCAAAAGAATAAGCAGTAAAAGAAAACATAGACAACTGAGCACATCAAACTTAAACTTTTGTGTTTGATCCCATCAAGAAGGTGAAAAGATAATTTGTACAATGGGAAAACATATTTTAAAATAACGTATCTGGGGACTGGCACTGTAGCGTAGTGGGTGAAACTGCTGCCTGCAGTGTTGGCATCCCATATGGGTGCCGGTTCGAGTCCCGGCTGCTCCACTTCCGATCTGAAAGCAGAAGGCCCAAGTCCTTGGGCCCTTGCATCCATGTGGGAGATCTGGAAGAGCTCCAGGTTCCTGGCTTCAGATTGGCCCAGCTCCAGCCATTGTGGCCATTTGGGGAGTGAACCAGCGGATGGAAGACCCCTCTCTCTCGCTCTCTGCCTCTCTGTAACTCTGCCTTCAAATAAATAAACAAATCTAAAAAATTTATACATTTGTACTCATGGAAAAAATTACATTTTCTGAACGGCCTGGCATACAGTGAGTGTCCAGGGTGTAACTGGGATTCTTACTCTATTATTTAGGTGGCATATACATTGTAGTCCAGTCTATCCAGTACTTTTATGGTATTATGAGGATTAGAATATTTAAAAAATTACTCTTTGGAGGCAACAACTGCTATGCTCTCCAGCTGCTGTGATAAGAACACTTGGTCCTGGGGCAGGTGTTTGGTCGAGTGGTTAGGAAGCCCATGTCCCACCCTGGAGTGCTGGGGCTCAGTACTCAGCTCCAGCCCCTGACCGCAGGTTTCTGCTGATGCAGATCCCCGGAGACGGTGAGGCCAGCTCAGGTAGCTGGTTTTCTGCGGCCCACACGGGAGACCTGGATTGAGTTCCTAGCTCCTGGCTTCAGCCTGACCCAGTCCTGGCTGTTGTGGGCATTTGGGGAATGAGCCAGTCGATGGGATCACTCTCTCTAAAGTAAATAAACAATAACAAATTGTTTTAAAAGAATACCTGGTCCTCTGTAAGATTCTCAGCATCCCAGTTGCTGCAACGAAGTTGAAGGGACTTGTCAAGGGGGAAGTTCAACACAGTCTCAGCGAGCGATTTCAGGCTAAGACCATTACGGAGCAAATTGTTTCTAAAAGAAATAAATAAAATCATGTATCAAAAGTGGGTAACGGATATGAACAGGAACATAAAAAAGATGAATAAATGGCAATGAGCATCTAGATAACTGATACCCTCCCTAATCATAAAAAAAAAAAAAAAGACAAATTGGAGCCCGCGCTGTGGAATAACATAGCAGATAAAGCCACCACCTGCATTGCAGGCATGCCATATGGATGCCGGTTCAAGTCCTGGCTGCTCCTCTTCCAATCCAGGCTTATGGCCTGGGAATGCAGTGGAGGATGGCTAAAGTACTTGCGCCCCTGAACCCACATGGGAGACCAGGAAGAAGTTCCTGGCTCCTGGTTTTAGATCGGCCCAGCTCTAGCTGTTGCGGCCATTGGGGAGTAAACCAGCAGATGGAAGATCTCAGATCTCTCTCTCTTTGAGTTTGACTCTGCCACTCTAACTCTGCCTTTCAAATAAATAAATAAATCTTTAATAAATAAATGAAAAATGGACATAATTTTTTCTATCAGATTGCAAAGATTTTTTATTTTTATTTTAAAAAAAGATTGTATTTATTTATTTGAGAGGCAGAGTTACAAAGAGAGGGTGAGACAGAGAGAAAGATCTTCCATCCGCTGGTTCATTCCCCAAAAGGCTGCAATGGCAGGAACTGGGCTGATCCGAAGCCACAGCCAGGAACTTGTTCTGGGTCTCCCACATGGGTGTGGGAACCCAAGCACTTGGGCCATCTTCCACTGCCTTCCAGGCCATAAGCAGAGAGCTAGATTGGAAGAGGAGCAGCCAGGGCAGAGGCTTAGCCTACTACATCACAGTGCTGGTTCCAGCAAAGATTTTTAAAATTAACTATACCTAGTATCTATCAACAGAACATGAAGAAACAGGAAATTTCATCTAAAATTCTTAAACATTTTTACATCTTTATTAGAACAGTTTAATAAATAAATATCAAACTTTTGAATATGATGTCCCACATTGGAGGTCCTGGCTTCAATTCCTGGCTCTGACTCCTGACTCCAGCTTCTTAGCAACGCAGATCCTGGAAGGCATCAGTTAGATGGCTAAAGTAACTGGATTCCTGCCACCTACATGGGAGACCAGGACTGGATTCAGCTTCAGTTCTAGTCATTGCAGTCATTTGGGGAGTGGGCTGGCTGGTGGAGGCTCGCTCATTCTCTCTGTCTCAGTGTCTGTATCTCTCTCTCTGCTTCTCAAATAATATTCTGAAATTTGAAATTTATTCTAAGCATAAATATACTTAGTAGGATTCTCATTGTAGCATTAGTGATAGTAGGAAAGAACTGTAGACAACCTAGTCGTCCATTAATAATGTTCGTGTATTACTTCTCACATTTGAAAAAGAAATAAGGCTGTTTTTAGTGAGGAGGTGACAATACAATAAAACCATTAATAATAACCTGCTCTCTCTGCTCTTCAAACAACTTCTGTTTAAAATCATGATCAGGGGAGAGGCAACAAGTGTTGTGGCATGGCGGATTAAGCTGTTAGTTGGAATGCCCTCAAACCATATTCAAGTGTTGGTTCCAGCTACCCTCTGCTTCCAATCCCGCTTCCTGCTAATGCATCTGCAGGGCAGCAGATGATGGCTAAAGTGGTGCAGACCCTGCCATCCACATGGGAGACCTGGATGGAGTTCCTGGCTCCTGCAGTCACTTGGGAAATAAACCAGCAGATGGAAGACCTCTCCCGGACCCCTTGTCATTTTGCCTCTCAAATAAAATAAATCAATCTTAAGACTAAAAACAAGCCAGCGCTGCGGCTCACTAGGCTAATCCTCCGCCCTGCGGCGCCAGCACACCGGGTTCTAGTCCCGGTTGGAGTGCTGGATTCTGTCCCAGTTGCCCCTCTTCCAGGCCAGCTCTCTGCTGTGGCCCGGGAGTGCAGTGGAGGATGGCCCAAGTGCTTGGGCCCTGCACCCCATGGGAGACCAGGAGAAGTACCTGGCTCCTGTCATTGGATCAGCGCAGTGCGCTGGCCGCAGCGGCCATTGGAGGATGAACCAACGGTAAAGGAAGACCTTTCTCTCTGTCTCTGTCTCTCTCCTGTCCACTCTGTCAAAAAAAAAAAAAAAAAAAAGACTAAAAACAAGGAGTGGGCTTTGTGGCTCAGCAAGTTAAGTTGCTTGGGACACCAATATCTCATACTGGAGGGCCAGTGCGATCCATAGCCGGCCACTCTGCACTTCTGATCCAGCTTCCTGCTAACGCACCTGGAAGGCAGCAGATAATGACTCAAGTACTTGGGCCCTGCCAGCCAATGTGGGAAACCAGATGACGTTCCAGACTCCTGGCTTCTGCCTGGCCTAGCCCTGGCTGTTCGGTCATTCGGGGAGTCAATCACAGGATGGAAGATCTTTCTCTGTCTCTCCTTCTCTGTTTTTCTTTCTCTCTCTCTCTCTTTCTTTCTTTCTCTCTCTCTCTCTCTCTCTCCTTCCTTCCTTCCTTCCTTCCTTTTTCTTTCTCTTTCTCTCTCTCCTTCCTTCCTTCCTTCCTTCCTTCCTTCCTTCCTTCCTTCCTTCCTTCCTTCCTTTCTTTCTTTCTTTCTAGATTTATTTTATTTATTAAGAGTTACAGAGAGAGGTAGAGACAGAGAGAGAGGTCTTCCATCCACTGGTTCACTCCCCAGATGGTCACAACGGCTGGAACTGAGCTGATCCGAAGCCAGGAGCCAGGAGTTTCTTCTGGGTCTCCCACGTGGAAGCAGGGGCCTAAGGACTTGGGCCATCTTTCACTGCTTTCCCAGGCTATTGCAGAGTGCTGGATTGGAAGAAGAGCAGCCGGGACTAGAACCAGGGCCCATATAGGATGCCGGCACTTCAGGCCAGGGCTTTAACCTGCTGCACCATAGCGCTGGCCCCTACTATGCCTTTCAAATAAAATAAATAAATCTTTTTTAAAAATATGGGGCCAGCGGCTGGCGCCGCGGCTCAATAGGCTAATCCTCCACCTTGCAGCGCTGGCACACCGGGTTCTAGTCCCAGTTGCCCCTCTTCCAGGCCAGCCCTCTGCTGTGGCCCAGGAGTGCAGTGGAGGATGGCCCAAGTGCTTGGGCCCTGCACCCATGGGAGACCAGGATAAGTACCTGGCTCCTGCCTTTGGATCAGTGCAGCGCGCCGGCCACAATGGCCATTGGAGGGTGAACCAATGGCAAAAGGAAGACCTTTCTCTCTGTCTCTCTCTCTCACTGTCCACTCTGCCTCTCAAAAAAAAAAAAAGATATATATATATATATATATATGGGGCAAGCACTGTGGTGTAGCGAGTGGGGCCACCATCTATGATGGGAAGGCAGCTCAGGAGGATGGCCCAAGTGTTTGTGCCCCTGCACATACATGGGAGACCTGGAAGAGGTTCCTGGCTCCTGGCTTCAGCTAGGTACAGCCCCAGCTGTTGTGGCCATCTGGAGAGTGAACCCGTGGTTGGAGGACTTCTCTCTTTATCTCTTCCTCTCTGTAACTCTGCCTTTCAAAAAATAAACAAATAGGCAGGCGCCGTGGCTCAATAGGCTAATCCTCCACCTAGCAGCGCTGGCACACTGGGTTCTACTCCCGGTCGGGGTGCCAGATTCTGTCCCGGTTCCCCTCTTCCAAGCCAGCTCTCTGCTGTGGCCCGGGAAGGCAGTGGAGGATGGCCCAAGTGCTTGGGCCCTGCACCCCATGGGAGACCAGGAGAAGCACCTGGCTCCTGCCTTTGGATCAGCACGGTGCGCTGGCCGCAGCGCGCCAGCCGTGGTGGCCATTGGAGAGTGAACCAATGGCAAAGGGAAGACCTTTCTCTCTGTCTCTCTCTCTCTCACTATCCACTCTGCCTGTCAATAAATAAATAAATAAATAAATAAATAAATAAAACTACTGCAGAGAAGTATCTGATACAGGATGTAGGCATCCCAAATGTGTCTAAACCGTTAGATCTACCTCTGCTTTTGTAGACTGAGGGGTTCTTGATTTCACATTTATCTGTTAGTTGGAGTCTCCGGTCCTTGGACAAATTTTTTTTCTTTTTTACTTCTCTGCAGTAAGTGCATAAAAAAAGATCTGGAAGGACAAAGCAATCAGATGATGGCACTGAAGGTGGCAGAGAGGCTATGATGATGATGATGACATTAATAGTCAAGTTGAAAAAACACTGGCTATATGTCAATACAGCTCAATATGCCTGGACTCATTTAATCTTCACACTAACCCTGTGAGGTCGGAACATCATCTCTACTGTACAAAGAAACTGAGAGACAGAAAGGCTTTGTGCCTTGCAAAGGTCACACGGCTGGCCAGTGGCTGCGCAGGGACTGCCACCCACACAGCCTGCTCCCATCAGCTTTCAGCCTCTGCACACGCAGCCATAACAGCACAGAGTGACGGTGGGCATCAGGGAAGGCAGTGCTGTGGGAAGGAGGGGTGCTAGTCCAATGCTTCTATAGTGTTCATTTTTTAAAGCAGTGTATGTTTTAAAGACTTATTCATTTATTTATTTGAAAAGAAGAGTGACAAAGAGAGAGGGAGAGATAGAAATCTTCCATCCTCTGGTTGAGTCCCCAGATGCCTGCAACAACAGACAGGGCTGGACCAGGCCACAGCCAGGAGCCAGGAACTCCATCCAGGTCTCCAACACTGGTGGCAGGAGCCCAAGTATTTAGGCCATCATCTGCTGCCTCCCAGGTACGCCAGCAGGAAGCCCTACTGGAAGCAGAGGCCAGACTCCATCCCACACACTCCAATATCAGATGTGTGCATCTGAGGCAGTAGTGCAACCTGTGCTGTGCCACAATGCCCACCCCGTAAAGCGATATTTTAAGTATCATTTAAAATATTTTTTATGTATAAGTGAGATTAACTTCAACTTTTTTTTTCCTGAGAGCAAGACAGAGAGATTTCCTATCTACTGGTTCATTCCTCAAACGCCCACAACAGCTAGGGCTAGGATAGACTGAAACCGGGAGCCTGGAACTCCAGCAGGGTCTCCCGTGTCGTCGGCAGGAACCCAACCTGAGCCGCCACCTGCTGCCTCCCAGGGTGCACATTAGCAGGAAGCTGGAACTGGGACTTGAAACCAGGAGCTCTGATTTGGGTTACAAGCGTCTCAGACAGAATCTTAATCAGCAAACAAAATGCCTGTCTCCAAAAAGTCTATACTTCACTTATAAGAGCCTTATTTATATTGGTGAAACTAACAAACTAAATTTCATTTTCTACTAAAATATTGTGATAGGCACAGATGTCATTCAGGCCTCCTCTTAGCTTATCAGATTCTAGGGTCTGTCATCTGATGCAGGTGACAGGCTGTGTTAGTCTATACTGCTAGCAATGAGGAGCTGCACATATACATGAAGATGTAATCGAGACTCTCTTTTTAAAAGTTGAAGTAGAATTTCCATAGGGATGGGATTCTAAAGAAAAGAGAAATCTCTTTTCCCCCCAGACAAGGCCTAGGTCTACAATCACTTCTGGCCGAAAGCAAGGTTGGCAAACTTAAATGCTTATCAGGATGAGTCAGGGTTACAAGAGGGGGCGGTGAGGACTCTGGCAAACTGAATAGAGTATGTTCATCTAAAAGGGATAGCCACTACCCAGCCATCTGGAACTATGGACCTGGTATAATTAGATCCTCTACATTTTCAACAGAAGCCAGAAATACAGATTTTTTTTACATTAAATATTCTGAACTTAAAAATTTAAAAAACAAGTCACCATGTGAGGGAAATAAAACTAAAGGACATCTGTAGCCCTAATTTAGCTAGTGGGGCCATCTGTTTACAACCTGTAGCTTACAGAGATAACTTATTAATGATTCATCTAAAAAGACTGTAGGTAACTAAAGTTTTCTCAGCAGTTGCAACATGTCCTCATAAATTAAACGGTCATCTCAGAAGCCTCCAGTTGGTGAAGACCCAAATGTTCCATTACAGATCCCCAGTAATCTACAGATCTTGCTCGGAGAGTTGCCCGCCACGACAGGGTCCAGCACACATACAAACCGCACCTCTGGCGCACAGCCAGGTACCGGAGGTCCAGACAGCCCCTGACAGCGAGGCCATAGTCCTGCAGAAGCTTGCTGGCATCTTCCGAACAGCCCACGCCAACTTTTAAAATGGTGCCATCTGCCAAGATGTCCAGTAACGTTCTTGGTAGCACTCTCCCTCCGTAGGTCAGCTTGGGCAAGCGAATCAAGACACAAAAGCCACTTGTAGAGGCCATTTGTAGGAGTGACAGAGGGCTGGCTTTGCCTTCACAATTCACCTGCAACACAAGAAGAAGAACCAGGTGTACATCCCAGGGCCACTGTAAGCATACCCTGAAACTGTCACAGAAAGGCCTACGAGGCACAACTAACTTCCCAAAGGCAGCACCTGGCCGATTTGGGGCTAAATCTAATGAAATTCCCCTACTAACAAGTGCAATCGACTTTGTAAGGAGAAGCCTAGGCCAAGGTTCCAGAGGGCACAGACTCCAGCGCCTGAAATAGGAGCACTGCACAAATAGTGACCAGCTGACACAGAGGAGCATAGAGACACACCGGCAGTTACACAAAACATACTGGATTTAAAAGACTAAGAAAAAAAAAAAGGGTAAGTAGTGTGCCCAATGATAATGATACATGACTCTTCATTACGCAGACTGTGATGCACATGCCTCCAGAGCCAATTTTGAAAAACAGGTAGGAGAGGCTGGTGCTGTTGTGTAGCAGGTAAAGTAGCTGCCTACAGTGCTGGCATTCCAAAGGGGCACCAGTTTGACTCCTGGTTGCTCCACTTCCGATCCAGCTCCCTGCTAATGTGCCTGGGAAAGCAGAGGAGGATGGCTCGAGTACTTGGGCTCCTGAAGCTACGTGGGAGGCCCAGAAGAAGCTCCTGTCTCTTGGCTTTGGCCTGGCCCAGCCCAAGCCATTGTGGCCACTTGGGGAGTGAACCAGCAGATGGAAGATCTCTCTCTCTCTAACTCTGCCTTTCAAAAATATAAATAAATCTAAAAAAAAAAAAAGGGAAAAGAAAAACAGATAGGAAATACAATATTGTAAATAAGTGGAATCTGACAATATAATAAATCTTGGTACAATAAAGTGCTTTCTTAACATTTTCTAGCTCCAAATGGTTCTTATGAAAACAATGTATATTAAGCCTACATTAGGACCTTTATATCTTATGAGACAAAAACAGCTTTATATATTAACCATTCATTTAGACCAAGGTTCGATCTTTTGGGGGTCGTAGGTAAGTCTGAGAAAATGCTGAAAGCTAAAGAGGTTATCACTAGAAAAATTTACATACCAAATTCACACACACACGTTCAAGGGATTAAAGAGCCCACAAAGATATCCACAGAACCTAGGTTAAGCAACCAATAAACTCCAATCCTTCTCTGTTTTCAGGAGAGGAAACTTGAGGTCTGTAGGTGAAGCAGTTTGACCAAACAAAGTGAGAAACCCAGGACTTACATTCAGGTCCCAGTGTCTAAAATACATTAAATAAATACCTAGATGTATGCATACATGGATGGATGGATGGAGGGAGGGATGACAGACAGGCAGAGTTGTCTTTTTTTTTTTAATAGTTAAGCCACTTAGAAGGGCTTTTTCTTTTTTTTTTTTTTTTTTTTTTTTAAGATTTATTTATTTATTTGAAAATCAGAGTTACAAAGAGAGAGGAGAGGCAGAGACAAAGAGAGGTCTTCCATCCGATGGTTCACTCCCCAATAGGCCGCAACAGCCGGAGCTGTGCCGATCCGAAGCCAGGAGCCAAGAGCTTCTTCCAGGTCTCCCAAGTGGGTGCAGGGGCCCAAGGACTTGGGCCATCTTCTACTGCTTTCCCAGGCCTCAGCAGAGAGCTGGGTGGGAAGTGGAGCAGCTAGGACTCGAACTGGCGCCTATGTGGGATGCCGGCACTGCAAGCAAGGGCATTAACCCGCTGCACCACAGCGCTGGCCAGAGTTGTCTTTTTAATAGTGTTTTTGGACCGTGCTTAAGATCTACCATATTCGGGCCGGTGTTTGGCGCAGCAATTAATCACAGCTTGGGGAGCCCACATCCCACACGGGAGTACCTGGCTTGAGTCTCGGCTTTTCCATTTCTGATCCAGCTTCCTGACAATGTGTACCTTTGGAGACAGCAGATGATGGCTCAAGCACTTGGGTCTCTGCCACCCATATGGGAGACCCAGCTTCAGTCCTGGGACTTAGCCTAGTCCAGCCCTAGCTTTTGCAGGCATCTGGGGAGTGACAGTGGATGAAAGATTGCTGTCTCTGTTTCTCCTTCTCTCTCTGTCTCTACCTTTCTAATAAAATGAAAATAAAAATAAAAAAATAAGTAAAATAACAAGTAAAATTTTAAAAAAGGTCCAGAATATTATAATCACGGTTTTTTCACTAGGAATCCATTGGAAGAATAATATTCCAACCACACTGAATGTGTGCTATGCAACCATTTCAGAATGTTATAGAAGCTCTAAGGTAAAAATTAACCTGCAACTTGCATATTTGAGGTTTCACTGGAATTAGAAATTAGCCTTCATTTACAAATTTTATTGTATTAGTTCAAATGAACTGGATTAGAAATATGCACAGAACAGCATTAAACCTAAAATTTTCAATACATGCTAGTGAGTGGAGAACTGTGTATTAGGATAACCTGGGACCTCATTTTCAAAGTTTGACTTAGGGGCTGCCACTGTGGCATACTAGGTTAACTTCTGCCTGCAACACCAGCATCCCCTATGGGCACTGGTTTGAGTCCCAGCTGCTCCAATTCTGTTCCAGCTCCATGCTGACAGCCTGGGGAAGAAGTGGAAGATGACCCAAGTGGTTGGGCCCCTGCACCCACTTGGGAGACCCAGAAGAAACTCCTGGATCCTGGCTTCAGATTGGCTCAGCTCTGTTCACTGCAGCCATTTGGGGAGTGAGCCAGCAGATGAAAAACCTCTCTCTCTCTCTGTAAATCTGCCTGTCAAATAAATAAATCTTTAAAAAAAAAATAACATGCCTAGGAGAGTCAATTTGGCTTAAAAAATTAGATGTCATCTTATTTCTCATCATTTCGTTTTCTTACATCTTTTGCCTTGACATCATTTAATATTCATAGAAAACAATGGAACCTCTCACTGTTTTATTTACTAGGATAAAATGACACATTTTAATTTCATTAGCATTATTTAATACTGGTATCTAATTTTTTTAAGGCAAGTGTTCTTAAAAATTTTTAAATATAATTATTTTCCTTTTAAATACAAGGTTTTTTTACATTTTATTTATTTTTTTAAGATTTATTTACTTATTTGAAAGAGTTACAGCAAGAGAGGGAGAGACAGAGCGAGAGATCTTCCATCTGCTGCTTTACTCCCCTTCGGCTACAACAGCCAGGACTGGGCAAGGCCACAGTCAGGAGCTAGGAGTTTCATCCAGCTCTTTACACGGGTAGCAGAGGCCCAATCACTTGGGCCATCCTCTGCTGTCCATCCAGCCCATTAGCAGGGAGCTGGATCAAAAGTGTAGCAGTCAGAACACGAACTGGTGCCCTTTTGGGAAGCCAGCATCACAGACAGCAGCTCGACCTGCTACACCACAATGCCAGCCCCTTTTTTCCCATTTTACTTGAGAGAACAGAGACAAAGATCTTCAATTCGATGGTTCACTCCTCAAATGCCTACAACAGCGAGGGTTGGGTCAGATCAGCCAGAATTCAATCCGTGTCTCCCGTGTGGGTGGCAGGAAACCAAGTATTTAAGCCACCTGCCGCCTCCCAGAGTGCACATGAGCAGAAGCTGGGCTTCGCCAGGGCCAGGACTTGACCCCAAGCCTTCAACACACGACACAGGACTCTAAGCTGCATCTTAACTACTGCGTCCCTTTCTGGTTGGTTGTGTTTTTTTGTTTTTATTAATTAACCCATATAAAAATGTTTGAGACATATACAATATATAGTCATGTGTAAACATTTCAGTCATTGGTGGTCCCAAAAGACTATAGTGGAGCTGAAAACTTCCTGTTGCCTGCTGATATCATAGGATTGTGCTACCACAGCACAGTTGTAGAGTACACACAACACAAGAAAGACAACTGAGGTGATGGATATGCCACTTATGTTGACCTAATCATTACAAACTGTCCTCTAGTACTAAAATACCACACTGCATCCCATAAATAAGTACAATTATGTGGAATTTTAAAATAAACATAGAGGGGCCAACACTATGCCACAGCAAGTCAAGCCACTGCCTGTGATGCCAGCATTCTGCATCACAGCACCTTTGTAAGTCCTGGCTGCTCCTCTTCTGGCCCAGCTCCCTACTAATGTGTCTGGAAAAGCAGTGGGAGATGGCCCAGGTATCTGGGCCCCTGCCGCTCATGCAGTAGACCTGTATAGAGTTCTAGGCTCCTGGCTTTGTTCTGGACCACCCTGGCTATTGCAGCCATTTGGGGACTGAACCAAGATAGAAGAGATTTTCCTCTCTCTCTTCTCTGCTTGTCAAATAAACAAATAAATCTTTAAAAAAAATTTAAAGTATAACAATACAATTACATACGGTACATAATGACAGTAAATTACTACATTACTGGCTTACGTATTTACTAGACTTTTATCACTATTTAGAGTGTAATCCTTCTCCTTATAGAAAGTGTTTGCTGTGGATCAGTGTGTCGTGTTTTGCCAGCGGCAGCCTCACACAGCTCTTGTTTACCTCATCTCTTGACTGATCGAGAAGCCATGTCACGTGACTGAGCGATACCATCGAGGTGTATGTAAATATACCTTAGGACATGTGCACAATGCCAAAACTCCCTGTGCATGTCTCAGATCGTAACCCTGTTAAGTGATGCATAACTGCACGCGTATGTTCATTTAGAAATTCCATGTGTGCCGTGCTGTACCAACATGTTTACATTATTAAGTATTTAAGAAAGTACGGTTTTAAATGAATGATACCATAAATCATTCTAGATAAATTTCCCAACACTCTCTTCCATGTTCACTTAAGGAACATTTTGGTAAGAGACCCTCCTTCCTGCAGGCCAGTGGTATTTTTTGTTTTTGTTTTTTTATTTGAAAGGCACAGGCAGAAAGAGGTATTTTCAATCCATTGGTTCACTCCCCAGCTGACCACAACAGCTAGGGATGGGCCAAGCCGAAGACAGGGGCCAGGAGCTTTTTCTAGGTCTCCCATGCTGGTGCAAGGACCCAAGCACTTGGGCCGTCCTGCCCAGGCCGGCCCTTTGGTATTCTTAAAATTCAGAGCTGCTAAGTTTCTGGG